ATCGGAAACCACCCCCAAAGTTTGAAATCGAAGCATTATTTCGACTAGTTATGCTGTACACAGACACAAAAAAAAAAAAAACAAAAAAAACACACATCATTGTAAAATCAATACATTCTTCACTTCGTTCAGAATCTAAAATGTACGTCGAACACATTCTTACAACTACTTGCTGTTTAAGGGTCTCATATAACAATGCCATATTCAAAGATAACAGAACGAACCTACTAAAAAATGCACAATAAAATACAACATAATCTTAATGGTTTTTTCTTGATTAAAATTTGTTAAGTACCAATCTTATTACAAATACAATGATCTTGTGTTCTATAACTTATCATTTCAATTTTATGCCTAGGATCCAGGATATAATAATAAGTTCAAAAACTAGGTCAGTTGACAATTAGATATTATGTATCATTATCACAGAACAAAATATCAAAATCAGGGATCAAATATTTATAGATTAAATGTGAGCATACTCTAAAACATGACATAACCTTACATATATTAAAATGTTATAATATAAAACCCCAGATATGAAATTTACTAAAACTTATCAGTTACCCATAAATACTAATGTAGTATTATGTTGACTATTGTGATATGCCATAGTAGTGGCACTGGTCAGTGGATATCGATGTCAGCATACTGCAGCAGCGTCAAAGATTTTCTAAATGATTTTTGTATAGTCTTTTTTTCTGTTTCGTGGGTCTGTGTCTTAAAGTAAAAAAAATACTTTGATCTTCAACTTCAAAAAATATTTCTGGTAGATAATCGAATTATTGAACATTGTTGTTATTTTAGAGTAGGATAAAAAGTAAAAATTCGAAGTACGTAATTATATTTTTTTGTTGAAAACCCAAAAAAAAAGTATAGGTACCTACTTACGTAAAAAAAGAATATTTACTTAAATTCATAAATTTAAAATTTTTCCGTAGGAATTCATAAATAAATAACTTGAGAGAATTGATGAAAATGTTCACAAAATATTTATRTTATCATTTACTAGACATGGAATTATTTTTAAATTATGTGTTAATTATAAATATTAGAAATCAAGAATTAGGAAAGAATAAACGTTTTGCTAAAATCAGAATTCGATAGTAAATGGTTCARTAGARCTAATCAATTATGGTTGATTAAATTCAATAATTTAATGTAGTCACCTGCAGTTGGTATACGACATCAAATTGTGAGTGTTGTTTTTGTTTATCAATAATAATGTTATTTTCTGAAAGAYTAACAGAGCAAAGGACTACGTAAGTTTTGTTTATGAATTTTATAGTACATAATTTATGTATAATTTTGAGATGGCCGGTTGGTGTTGCAGACGCTACATTTTTTTTTTTTACATACAATTAAAATTAAAATGACTAGTAAAATTCCGAAATTCGTCTTCTGTCCAACCATGATGATGGATTAAGCGAAGTCGCGTAAAACAGCAGTAACGAGAGTATTATACTGCAACGTCTGCAACTGTATAATAATTTATTCAATTATTATTATTATTTTAAATAATAGTGGTTGATATATGGTAGACAGTATATCATACTTTAATAGATAGGTAGGTCAAACTATCATAAATTATTATACTGTAACGCTCGCTAATACATCGCGTCCAGAGATTACGTCAACGGATCATGTTTTATTCAAAGACATGATGGTTAATACAAACTCTGATATATAATATACGATAAGCAATGAGTTGGGAGCATAAGACAAAATATTCATCGCCCGAGAGATAGTGTCACTTTGACTTTTGCAGAAAGGGCTCACCGCCGATCATTGTAGTAAATGGTATTWCAAAGTAATACGCACGAGTCCGATTATTATTTGGAGAGATCGCAATCACCGCGGAGATAAAATTCAGTTGTGTACATAGGTACCTACTTAGAAATATCAAAATCCATTAGCTGTAATAATATATACCTACCAGTTGCCTATTGGCCATTATTATTTTTCGGTCCGCGTATGATGCCAACAGTCAGTGGCGTATTTAGGAATTTGCCATGGGGACTGGGGAGGGTCTAGATAATTCAGATAAATCACCCCTCCCTCTCGCCGATTATTCTATATTCAGTAACTATACCATATTTATAAGACATTTTAACATTTTTGAGTTCTGAATTATGTCATATAATATATAGGTATTTATATAATCAACTTTGTATAGGTAATAATAATAAAAACATAATTAACTAACAAATCAGTGGCGTATTTTGGGGGGGTGTCCTCCATGTCTTGACACCCCCCGACATTTAAAAAAAAGTCCTAATATATTGTCACTTATTTTATAGTATACCATTTTTTATCAAATGTAAGACTTCGTGTCAATTCCTAACATATTAATTTGTTAAAAAATTAATTCAATATCTTTTTACATTAGTAAATAATACT